TAGTGAGACTTTCAAGGATCTTAGTGAGAATTTCAATGTCATTAAAAAGGACCAGTCAGAAATTAAGTATACACTAACTGAAGTAAAGAACCATTTACAGGGATTCAACTAGAGGATTCTGAGATTCAAGTCAATGATTTGGAATATGAGGAAGCAAAAAACACCCACTCAGAAGAGCAAAAAAAAAAAAAAAGAATAAAAATATATGAAGAAAGTGTAAAGAGTCTCTGGGACAACTTCAAGCATACCAACATTAACATTATGGGGGTGCCAAAAGATGAGAGAGAGCAAGAAATTGAAAACCTATTTGAAGAAATAATGATAGAAAACTTCCCCTACTTGGTGAAAGAAATAGACTTACAAGTCCAGGAAGCACAGATAGTCCCAAAAAGAGGAACTCAAAGAGGCCCACACCAAGACACATCATAATTAAAATGCCAAGGGTTAAAGACAAAGAGAATATCTTAAAAGCAGCAAGAGAAAAGCAGTTACTTACCTAAGAAGAAGGAAGGGGAAGGGGAGGAGGAAGAGGAGGAAGAGGAGGAGGAGGAGAAGGAGAAGGAGGAAGAAGAGGTAAAAAATAAGAACAATAAAATGGCAACAAATACATATCAACAATTGAATCTAAAAATCAAAATAAATGAACAGAAACCTGATGAACAAAATAAACTGGTGAATAAAACAGAATTAGAGGCATGGAAGCATGGAACAGACGAATCTCAGAGGGAATGGGGGAGGTGGGGGTTTAAAGAGATTAACCAAAGATCTTACCTATGGACACAGATGGTAAGGTGGTGAAGGCATGGGGTGGGGTGAGAACTGGGTGGAGGGAGGCAATGAGGGGAAAAAGGGGGAACATCTGTAACACTCTCAACAATAAAGATTTTTTAAAAATGTAAAAAAGAAACAGGCAAGTTAAAATCCACATATGGCTTCAGCCAAGTGCTGACACTAATCATGAAGACCATGGAAAGGCCACAAAGCATTCAGGACAAGAACTAAGGAAATCTACTTGAGTTCATGGGGTGTGTACCTTGACTACACAAAGAAAAAGAAGCCTCCACACACATGGATGGAGGTCAAGAGGAAATGTCAGAGTTTCAATGAAGAGGGCTTTGCCCAAGGATATCTAAGGCCTTGTCCACCTCCAAACAAGGGTGGAGTCTATGGGGCCGCAGTCAGAGGTGAAGACTTAGGCTGTGTAGGCCACAGGTTGGATCTGTTGGCGCTAGAGCAGTGGTTCTCAACCTTGGCTGCACATTAGAATCACCTGAGAATCTTTTTAAAATCCTGATTTCTGGGCCTCATCCTCCGGAAATTCTGTTTCTTTGTTACTAATGTTGTGGCCCCACCCCATAACAAAGAAACAGATTTTCCGGAGGATGAAGTCCAGAAATCAGGATTCTTAAAGATTCCCAAGTGATTCTAATGTGCAGCCAATGTTGAGAACCACTGCTCTAGAAGGTACACCAAGGAAGAATGTCCTTCCAAATAAATGTTTATCTCAAGTATCTTCTGGGAACTGAAATTTGAACCTTTCACCACTGATATCTGTCTTACGCTTAACTTCTCAGCATCATATTTAATATATATATGATAATCCTCATCCAAGGGTGTTTTTCCCAGTGATTTTGAGAGAGCAGAAGGGAGGGATGGATGGAGGGTGTGGGGGGAGAGAGAAACATCGATGTGAGAGAGACATATCGATTGGTTGCCTCCTGTACTCACCCCGACCAGGGCCGGGGATTGAACCTGCAACCCAGGTATGCACCCTTGACTGGGAATTGAACCATAACCGTTTGGTGCGTGGGCCACTGCTCTAACCACTTAGTACCCTGGCCAGGGCTCATGTTTAATATTTAAAGTACAGTCCTGGTTGCCCCCAGCAGGATAGTGTCCCTCCATCTTTCACTAATGACAATTATGATTATTACACATTTGTGTAAGGATTTACAAGACATAAAATTTGAAGGTATATCTTTTCAGTTGCTCCTCCCCATACTCTGGGTAGCAGGGAAAATGGCATTTGAATCAACTCGCCTTGTAGATGAGAAAACCAGGGCTCAGTGGTTGAGTGAACCCAAGGTCCTGCAGAAACAGAGTCAAGCCTAAGGATTTCAACCCTGAGTCCAGTATTATTTCTATCACCTTATTTCTATGCACCTTAAAACAACCATGGAGAGTAGAGAGTTGGTGGGAGGAACTCCCAGGTCCCTCAGCTTTGTTTTTTTAAATATTTTTTATTGATTTCAGAGAGGCAGGGAGAGGGAGAGATAGAAACATCAAAGATGAGAGGGAATCATTGCTCGGCCGCCTCCTGCACACCCTCTACTGGGGATTGAGCCTGCAACCCGGGCATGTGCCCTTGACCGGAATCGAACCCAGGACCCTTCAGTCCGCAGGCTGACGCTCTATCCACAGAGCCAAGCCAGCCGGGGCAGTCCCTCAGCTTTGAACTGACACTCACACGGGCAGTTGATATTTACCAGTAGGAAGCTGGGCTGTTGCAGGTGAGGGAATGCCATAGTAGCTCCTGGTGGAGTTGAAAACGGCCGTCTTAGGAAACCACTGTGGAAAAGCAAATAAGAAATCTCAATATCTGCCAAAGAGAACACTGAATCGTTTCACAATGCCCTGGAGAACATTTGTAGAACTCATCACACACTGCACTGCCATGTCCCACGTCATAGAAATGCCATTCTCATGCAGCCCACAGTGGCCAGCTTGTGGTGGCAAATCCTTGCTAATACGCGGTAACGCTTGTATAGCACTTGCTATGTGCCAGGCCTGGTTCTAAGGGCTCTGCATATATTTCTCATTTACTTCTCAGTGGCAGCCAGAATTCTGAAGATAGCCCTCCAAGTGCCGGCCCCTGGTTATCCAATCACAACCATCTGGATATTGCTGTGAAAGAATTTTGCAGATACAATTTAAAGAGTCAAGTCAGTGGACCATAAAATACAGAGCAATCTTGGCTGACAGCCAGTGAGGAAACAGGGACCTTAGTTCTACAACTCCCAAGAACTAGATCCTGACAGCAACCTGAGGAAGCGTCGAAGCGGATTCTTCTCCAGAGCATCTAGATAAAAGCAAAGCACCATGATTTCAGCCTTGGACTGAGCAGAGTGGAAGCTTGCCTAGCTCCCATGATGGGTTACTGCTGGCTTTTCCTTGCACAGCTTTGCCTACTGGCCTGAGTAAGGGCACTGAGGTAGCAACTGACAACTTAATGAACTATTCCAAAACTATCAAAGCAGCTTAAAACCCTGAGTTGCTTGCAAAGGGCAGAGCTTTAGGACGAAGCGAAAGCACCTCCTTTCTCAGAGGAAGTTGGGCCAGGCAGGGGCCGAAGGAATGTGGCCAGAGGTGCCAAACGAGGGGTCTTTCCAAGGCAGGCAGTGCCTCTTACAGAGGTCTCCGACCCCGCCCTGGTCTGCCCCCATCCCGCCGCCCCCCATCACCCCTTCTGTGCTGTGCACCAAGCGTCTGCTTCATCCTACCACTTCAGCAACCCCTTTCCTCAGGAGCTGCTTCCGACCTAGTTTTGGGGTTTCTTCTGAGAGCCGCAGCCCTCAGGCATCGCTGATTCGGCCAAGGACGCCCTCTAGCTCAGCGGTTCTCAACCTGTGGGTCGCGACCCCTTTGGGGGTCGAACGGCCCTTTCACCGGGGTCGCCTAAGTCCACCGGAAAACACATATATAATTACATAGTTTTTGTGATTAATCACTATGTGGGGGTCACCACAACATGGGGAACTGTATTAAAGGGTCGCGGCATTAGGAAGATTGAGAACCGCTGCTACCTGCTCTGAGGGGCCGAGAAAACTCCCCTTTGTCGCTCACAGCTGCCCTGAGAAGCAGGCACTGGGCACCATGCCCCGTACCACGGAGGAGGAGACTGGCTCCGACAATGGGAGGAAGGCTCGGGCCGGGACCCACACCCGGCTCTTCTTCCTACACGGTTTTTTGAGTCCAAAGCTCATGTTTCATTCGCAGCTTTCCTTCCTCCAACTCGTTCAACGAACGTCACCGAGCACCCACCAGGGCTGGATGTGTGAGCCGCGCGGGAAGGCGGCAAGAGGGCGGAGCCCAGGCCCTAGGCTCCCCCACCGGCCCGGCCGGGGCAGAGAGGCGGAAGCCCGGCCCGGGCTCGCGGAGGAACGAAGGCAGCTT